AAAAAAAAAAAAAAACAAACAAAAAAAAAACAAAAATAAAAAAATACTATGTGAAAAAGGCTTCTATAGTACACTACAAAATAGCAAAATGCTAAATAAAAGAGGCATATACTATAGCAAAAAAGGCAACTCTTCTACCGCAAGACTTGATAAGTCCACAGAAATCAAAGCGGACCACAAGTTTTTGCTTTATTTGCAAAAAATTTAGCACACATTGATTTCAGTTAAAGATTATTGCAGAACTTTTGGATTCTGTGGTCTTGTCAATAATAAATTCATAATCTTATAATCGCGGGGACGGGAAATAAAGTAATTAAGTAATTAGATAGTATAATAGTATAGTATAATAGTATAATGGAAAAACATAAAAAATTTAAACAAAAAAAACAACAGAATACTAATACTTAACGGATAAGCGAAACACTAACAATTAATTAAGTAAAGAATGTTTAAACAAAAGCAGGTACCGGATAAGAAAAACACATACTAACGGCTATTTAAGAGGAAATTATTTGGAAAGAACCTAGACTAATCTCAGGCAAAGCACAGTTTTTTTTCTCACCGTCCCCGAAGTATGGTAACAAGAAATGTAAAATTCATAAAACTTGCGGTGTGGATATCTAAAAAGGCCACAACAATTAAAATTTTTTTTTTCTCTTTCTCATAAAATTATCGAAAGACAGTTTACTCTTCATATCCGGCGTTTGCGGCCTCAACATATACAGCTACGACTCCCCTCTGGTGACTATTGATCATGGGCATGGCTGGATCTTGAATGGACACTTTAGTCTCGTCCACGTGATTGACCTTAACTACTTTAACATAGCGTTGGAAAAACTAAGAGAGACAACACGGTATGAGATCGAAAACGAAGCAGTGAGGACAGTTTTACAATTCCACCTGAACCAGACTGAGCTACGTCTTGAAGAACTTCAGATGACCAAATTGAGAAAGACACGTTCTATTGACTGGATCGGTTCGGCATGGAAATGGATTGCTGGCTCTCCGGATGCTGCGGATTGGGACTATATCCTTCGAAGCTTAAACGAGGTGGTGACCAACAACAACCACCAATATCGGGTCAATGACAAGCTCTTTAACGGAACCCGTGAAGCAATTGAGAAAGCAAATCAAATGATGGTTCACATTAATGCAATCAGCAAGAGTGTTAAAGAAGAAAACCTTGAACTTCTGGACCTAAGTAAGGTTCTCATCCTTAAAGAACAAGTATCGGAGGTGGTGCAAGCGTGCCAAATGGCAAAAACGGGCATCGTGAACACGAACCTGCTTGATCGAGAGGAAATCCATAGACTTATACTCGAAGAAGAGTCCTTACCATACCAAAACTCAATCGAGGCTATAGAACACGGATCGGCATCCGTATACTCGAACGGAACACTTCTTCTGTATGTTCTTTCCATGCCAAAGGTGAAGCCGGACAGCTATCGACTCTTAATGACACGAGCTGCTATTATAAATGGACAACACGTGGTACTCGACTATGAGAAAATGTTGATAAATCAGGACGAAACGTTCGGTATTAAAAATGATTGCTCGTCCATTGGCAATTACTCAATTTGCGCACCCAAATCGTTGGCTAGACTACCCGAAGACGGATGCATAGCGAGATTGTTAAAAGGCGGAAATGCGAAATGTCACTTCGAACCATCCAGCAGCATAATCATAGAAATGATGGACGAGACATCACTATTCCTAACGAACTTTTGGGGTAAAATCCAGGGAAAAAACTACGAAAACGTCCTGAATGGAACATATGTCGTTTTGCTCAACAACGAAACCATCGTAGTGGGAAACCAAACGTTTACCAGCAGGTCGACAAGGATGGTACAGGCTTTGCCACCTGCATTAACAAACGTGACGAGTAATGGCCTGAAGCTGAATTTGGACTACATCCACGAGCTTAGCGTAACAAACATCCGACACCTACGAAAATTGGGCGAAACTTTTCACTTTTCGCTGATTTTCGACACCGTTGCTTTGACGATCCTTGCATCAATATGCTACGTAATTTGGAGGAAGATTACTACAACTATCTACTTTCCCAGGCTCAATCGCTCAATCAAACAAGATCAGCCAAACGCCCACTTCAAAGATCTACGTCAGGAACTACCTCATCAGCGGGACGCAGATGTTTAAAGGGGGGGTAGTTAATACGGGGGCTAACACACATACCTGTGTGAATGTGCTGACGC